AATTCAATTGTGGCTAAATCTGCAATACGCTCCTACATCAAACAACGGTGTGCTTTACAGACAACGCAAAAACAGATACATGCCGAGTTGTGCAGCATAAAAGGCATCACATTTAGAACTGTTTGTCTCAAAGGAGAATATTGCTGCTGTGAAAGCATTAGTTAAGGACGATTGTCGTCATACTGTTTCTGATATAAGGACGATTGTCGTCATACTGTTTCTGATATAAGGACGATTGTCGTCATACTGTTTCTGATATTAGGACGATGGTCGTTATACTGTTTTTGATATAAGGACGATTGTCGTTATACTGTTTCTGATATAAGGACGATTGTCGTTATCCTGTTTCTGATATAAGGACGATTGTCGTTATACTGTTTCTGATATAAGGACGATTGTCGTTAATATGTTTCTGATATACGGACGATTGTCGTTATACTGTTTCTGATATACGGACGATTGTCGTTATACTGTTTCTGCTATAAGGACGATTGTCGTTATACTGTTTCTGATATAAGGACAATTGTCGTTATACTGTTTCTGATATAAGGACGATTGTCGTTATTCTGTTTCTGATATAAGGACGATTGTCGTTCTACTGTTTTTGATATAAGGACGATTGTCGCTATACTGTTTCTGATATAAGGACGATTTTCGTAATCCTGTTTCTGATAGAAGGACGATTGTCGTTATACTGTTTCTGTTATAAGGACAATTGTCGTTATACTGTTTCTGATATAAGTACGATTGTCGTTATACTGTTTCTGAGATAAGGACGATTGTCGTTATCCTGTTTCTGATAGAAGGACGATTGTCGTTATACTGTTTCTTATCTAAGGACGATTGTCGTTATCTTGTTTTTGATATAAGGACGATTGTCGTTATACTGTCTCTGATATAAGGACGATTGTCGTTATTCTGTTTCTGATATAAGGACGATTGTCGTTATACTGTTTCTGATATAAGGACGATTGTCGTTATACCGTTTTTGATATAGCTCATATGGTTGGCATTTCAGAAGGCAATACACATAGTGCTTGAAATCCCTGACGTTTAAATAGAGGTTACACAACGAGTGGTTGTTGAATATGGTATTTATTTCACTCGAGTTAGTTAAGTTTCAAAAGTTACAAAAGACACGAGCTTTAGCGAGTGTCTTTCTGTAACTTTTGAAGATTAACTAACGAGAGTGAAATAAATACCATACTCAACAACCACGTGTCGTGTGATCTGTTTCTACCACAATCTCAGTCGGAAACAGCTGGAGTATTTCCTGATTGTCTAGGCTGGCGTAGTGATATGACCCATATGTAAAAAGTTGCTCATTAATATTCAAAAATGTTGTTGTTTTTTTTACAAATTTAATAATTTTAAAAATCAATGTTTCAGCAACAACTTCGTGAAAAAAATAAAATAGATGAACGACTTTAAATATTGAGAGTATGCAATATTGCATTAATTAATATAAATTTACCACGGACTATATTCGCGTAAGCATATCGTACGAAGTCTGTCTCCCGCCAAGTGATGAAGACGAACTAATCGCTGTCAATTTCCAAAACCATAGGATTGGACGTTTCTTCGTGAGGTTCTATGGTTGACGTTTATAGTGAGAGTTCCGCCATAGACAAGCCCTCCGCATATTGATAACGGGACATGGGGGAGAACGAAATAGTTTCCTTCACTGTTACAGATCTTGTTTGGGTTTCACAGAGACAAAGGCCCTATATATTAAGTCTCTGGGTTTCTCGACCTGGACATGCGACGGTATGGCGTCGAAACGATATCTAGCGTCTGTAGCAATTTTGCCTGAAACTAGCGATCAAACTTCTTTTGGTATTGCATTATTAACCCCATTTTCCCATCGCATAACCTCACAAAAGTCACCAACATTTGCCGGATGTTGACAGCAGACGACGTAAACAAAACAGCACGCGGCAAAAAGCGCTTGAAAAAATTCGTCGGGTCAAGGTTCATCTTCTCGACCAATCAAAACTACGGAAGGTCATATACCACGTGTGGTGTACATGTTTATACAATGATCTGAGAGTGGAACAACACAGCGTATTGTGGTAGAAATTGAGCTAAATATTGATAAAGTACGCTACCTATCTGAGTTACTTACAGGTGAGGACTTGGGTCTATTACTTTGAGCCCCAGAGGCGCATTAATAACAAGCAATGGTTGTCGAGAAATCATGAAAGGCCAGTGATTGCAAAATGTATAAAAAACGCCAAGAAAGTTTTGTATGCCATTGTTTAAGCAATTATAGTGGGCCTGTGGTTCAGATACCGTGCAAGGAAGGGAAAACTGTCACTGCCACATTTTACAGAGACAAAGCACTGAAGCCTGTCAAAAGCTCTACATGAAAAAGTGTCCAAGTAAAGGGTTGAGTGACATCCAGCTAATTCCCGAAAATTTAGCCATATCAATCGGGTAACTGTATCACATCGACAAATATATACCTGAACGACATTCAGAAATCATAACATATCATTTTTTTTTTTTTTATATAAAATGTATATTAATATATATCGAAATCCATTAAATATCCTCTTCTGATTACATTTTTAACTGTGAAATATAAAACATATGATAAAATCTAAGTGAAGACATACGAAATATGTGATGATATAAGGTCCAGGATCGATTTGATATTGACCAATCAAAATGGTAATTTCTTTTAACTGCGGCAGATTTTCAATCTAGCTGCTGACGAAGTTACCGTAGAATAAGTACACACAGTTATTAACATGTTTACGTTTCTGGTTTTATTTCGAACATTAGAATTACGTTGACATTCAAAATGGAGCACAGCCTTGTTGTCAAGGTAACGCCATTAGAACCCGACGTCAAATATAACGCCTAATTCCAGCACTTTTTTATGCAGCAATACTTTCGTCATTTTACTTTAAAAATGTAATAAATAGAAAGTTTAATAGATCCCCGTTAATACCATACAGATATATATATATCCACCACGAGTATGACAGATTCCCGATATTTTTCAAGAGTGCTAATATAGGCACGATTAAAAGTATCGGTATAGTATGCTCTACGGGAAACCATCAAATATCCTCTATTTAATCTTAATGAATAAAAATAACTTATCAGACCGACACTATATCCTCGTTTGTGCCCCGACTTCGTTGTCCAGGAAGAGAGCTCTTCCTCAGCAGTTTTGTACAGTGTAATATCCTCACGGAAATGATTGAGCCAATCATGTGTCAGGTGGGCGGAGCTTGTACAGACCTGGCCTCTCCCAAATGTGCAATATATCCCTCAAGTCCATACTTTAACTGTATATTAGTCTATCTTCAGGTTAGCGATTTAAAATCAGTCACTCTGCTGTTCTTATTTATTGATTAGCACAAACATATGTTACCAGATCTATGTTACCAGATCTATGTTACCATATATTACCAGATCTATGTAACCAGATCTATTTTACCATATGTTACCAGATCTATGTTACCAGATCTATGACGTAAAACATCAACGTTTTAACAGAAAGTCAGCGAGGGAACATTCGTATGGGCATTGCGGATCTTCCTTGGTTGTATAATATCATCCGGAAACATGGCCCGGATATGTTTTGTCGTGTACAGTTTGTCTTAGTGCCTAACGACTTGTAAACTTGTATGGCAGTTACGGAGTGTTTATCACGTAACACGTAAGAACAGAGGCCTATACAAGCCTACCGAGAACATGTCTAACGGCTCTCTAGCACCACACCGCACTGTTCCTAACGATTTCTCCCTTAAAGGGTCTTAACTCTGCCCAAAACGAGTCGAGACACTTTTCGATTTTACTTCTTATTTTTCTCTTGTACTACAAGCTTGCACTAGAATGAAAACTTAAAACGCGTCATTTAAGAAGCCAGTAGTAGTTAGGAGACTCCTGACCGGTCACTCCTACTATATAAATTGATAGGTCCCACTAACCTAACTCTGATGTCCGCCGTTACAATATATCTAGTATCATTAGCTGTTACTAATAACCTTAAGGATTAAGGATTACGACCATCTCTTGTTTGGGAGTCTGTTCATCTAGTGTTGATGATGTGATAAACATATCACAATTATACACCAGAAGTGTGTAAAAGGCAAAATGATAATGAATGAAATTCAAACAGCAAAATATTAAACAAGCCCGGTCACCGAGAAAAGCATAAAATGTATACGTAACCGTGTAGATATCCAGACATCCGGGTATTTATCTAGGTCACTGTGTAAATGACTAGCTATCCAGGCATCCGGGTATTTATCTTGGTATCTGTGTAAATACCTAGTTATCCAGGCATCCGGGTATGTATCTTGGTATCTGTGTAAATCCCTAGCTATCCAGGCATCCGGGTATCTATCTTGGTATCTGTGTCAATGCCTAGCTATCCAGGCATCCGGGTATCTATCTAGATATATGTGTAAATACCCAGCTATCCTTTTAGATATCCAGACATCCGGGTATTTATCTAGGTCTCTGTGTAAATGCCTAGCTATCCGTTTAGATATCCGGGTAATTAACTTGGTATCTGTGAGGACCTGTAGATTCGTTTATCCGTTTAGATATACATTTTTTCGATAGTGTCCCGATAGGATCCCTTTATGATCTAGATGTCTTTATATCCGTTTATCCAATGTTGGATAAAAAAAAAATGACAAACAAGCCAAATTTTACTTATTTTATTTTAAATGCACGTACAGAGATAAGAAATTGTTAAACATACTTATATTCTTGAAAAATAGAAAAAGGATTTTGTGTAATCTTTCCCATACATACATCATGGATGGTTGAGGCGTAACATCGTAGGGATCGGAGACGGCACCTTTGTATGTATAAACAAATCTTTCTTCTGCTGTCGTTCGCATATTACATCTGTCTATAAATCACGTATAGAGACCGTTACCTGTAGACCTACTGACATCTCTCAAGGTAAAAACGACATGTCTCCGACCCATCAGCGCAGGTAAGACTACAGGTAAACCACACGTTCTCTGGTCTTTCTGTCGAGCGGGCCACAAAGGAAGGCGCACAACAGGAGTGAAGACATGTCGGATATAGGATAATATAACACAACGCAAAGAAAAAACAGGTTTCAACAGTTTTCCCAGGACAATTTCCAAATTTGAGAGACTTAATTGGAGGATTGTATTGACCTTTCATCAAACAGGTAGGTGTTGATATCAGGCTATAGTCTTTTTGTATCGTACTGAGTGACGAATTACAAGAATATTAATGAATTTATCGAAATAAATAAGATCATTTACATAAAAATTGGCAAATTAAACTTGATAGGCAAAAGGTAAACTTGTTACAGACATCGTCTTCTCCTTGTATTGACACAGTCATTCCTAGGACTAGGTAAAAACTCAGTCTGTTTTTGTGGTGTCGCCTAGTGTTAACTAATTACCTTTCTGTATATTTAATATGTATTGTCATATGGCGAACTGTGCCAGGATATTTTATACAATGTATTTTGTTGCTCAAATATGCCACTCAAGCAAATAGCATAATATAGCTGACACCCCACTTAATAATACTCTCCTCAAGCATTGTGACAAGGGCCAGCAGGTACTTATCCCTGACTTCCGATAGCACCGTAATACGTATTGATCACTATCTGTCTCCCGTTTATAATGACGAGTAGAGAAACAATCTCAAGTAAAGGGGGGAATTACTAGTGTTGTTTGTTGTTGTATATTAGACAACACATGCGTACTATGTAAATTATATTCCTGTTTATATACACTGCGCAGTCCGTCCCTTTGTCACGTAACTTACCATGTTCATTCATCCAATTGTATACAAATTAATCCCTGAATCTACAATCCAAAAAAATGAATTTCAATTTCAATTTGTTCATCATTTTAAAATAAAAATAAACCTTAAACGATCGTGTTAAAGGATTTCATTCATTTGTTTTCAAAACATATTTTGCATTATGTTGGAAAATATGTATGGATATTTTACATATAATTAGGATAGGGTCGATCTTAACAGACAACACTCGTATGTCTACTGTTTAGTACTTTGCTATGTCTTAGTTATTAGCATTTTTGGCCCTATAACACAAATACTAAATAAACACTGTCTCGCCTTATAAAACAGGTATCAGGATTGTCTGACCTAATAACACAGGTATCAGCATTGTTTGGCCCTATAACACAGGTATCAACATTGTTCGGTCATATAACACAGGTATCAACATTGCTTGGCCCTATAACACAGGTATCAACAGTGTACGGTCATATAACACAGGTATCAACACTGGTTGGTCATATAACACAGGTATCAGGATTGTTTGGTCCTTTAACAAATGTATCAGCATTGGTTGGCCATATAACAGAGGTATCACCATTGGTTGGTCTTATGACACAGGTATCACCATTGTTCGGTCCTATAACACAGGTATCAACATTGTTCGGTCCTATAACACAGGTATCAACATTGTTCGGTCCTATAACACAGTTATCAGCGTTATTTGGCCCTAAAACATACAGGTATCAGCGTTATTTGGCCCTAAAACATACAGGTATCAGCGTTTTTTGGCCCTTAAACATACAGGTATCAGCGTTTTTCAGTAGCCACTTTTTTTTCAAAATAACTATATCAATACATTTATAATTTTCGGGTTCACTGAATTCCAATAATGCAATAACAAATATCAAATTCGAAGTGTCATGATACAATTTGAATGATAAGTTTACATTTGTTCTTATTTTATACAAAGCCATACATTTATAAACCTCTCCTTGTGCCGAATAAGAATTATTACTCATAGCCTGACAAAAGGAGAAAGTTTTCCTTATATATAATATTGATGATTGATCCCGTATGAATCAAAAGCTTCTCATGGAATTAAGTTTTCTTAACTTAGCTTATTTTTAAAACGATTAATCATTTGATCGTAATGAGTCAGTACTGCTTAAGTAAGAGACGGAAATATCTGCCGTTAGATGTGCCGTTAATGTTCTATATATATATCTCATATTTATATAGTCCCCGTGTTCACTGTCATGTTGTACAAAAGAGAATATGTGCAGACCATCAATATATTGCCCGAGGGGTTCCAAGTATACAACGTCAACACCTGTGACCCTTCTAATCGGAACATCTCTGTTCATTATATTCAAATGAGAAACATGACATTTGACATTGTCGCAAATGTGTTTCCTGTAACATACGAATAGAAAATGTCAGGGTGGTAATGGGTTCATACCTTGTCTATAAAGTCAGCAAACCGGTTTTACAATGAGTGGTAATCTTTGTAGCAAGTATAACTGTTATACAATGTGCGTTAACTTTTGTAGCCAGTGTAACTGTTTATGTATCCAGTGTAACTGTTTATGTATCCAGTGTAACTGTTTATGTAGCCAGTGTATACGTAACTGTTTATGTAGCCAGTGTAACTGTTTATGTAGCCAGTGTAACGGTTTATGTAGCCAGTGTAACTGTTATACAATGTGCGTTAACTTTTCAGTTACATTCAGTAAATTATGTAGCCAGTGTATACGTAGCTGTTTATGTAGCCAGTGTAACTGGTATATAATGAGCGTTAACTTGTGTAGCCAGTGTAACTGTTTGTGTTGTCAGTGTAACTGTTTATGTAGCCAGTGTAACTGTTTATGTAGCCAGTGTAACTGTTTATGTATCCAGTGTAACTGTTTATGTAGCCAGTGTAACTGGTATATAATGAGCGTTAACTTGTGTAGCCAGTGTAACTGTTTATGTAGCCAGTGTAACTGTTTATGTAGCCAGTGTAACTGTTTATGTAGCCAGTGTAACTGTTTATGTAGCCAGTGTAACTGTTTATGTAGCCAGTGTAACTGTTATACAATGTGCGTTAACTTTTGTAGCCAGTGTAACTGTTTATGTAGCCAGTGTAACTGTTTATGTAGCCAGTGTAACTGTTTATGTAGCCAGTGTAACTGTTATATAATGAGCGTTAACTTGTGTAGCCAGTGTAACTGTTTATGTAGCCAGTGTAACTGTTTATGTAGCCAGTGTAACTGTTTATGTAGCCAGTGTAACTGTTTATGTAGCCAGTGTAACTGGTATGTAATGAGCGTTAACTTGTGTAGCCAGTGTAACTGTTTATGTAGCCAGTGTAACTGTTATATAATGAGCGTTAACTTGTGTAGCCAGTGTAACTGTTTGTGTTGTCAGTGTAACTGTTTGTGTAACTATAACTAGTGTAACGGTTAATGGTTCACTATTTAATTGTTTTTGAAATCAAAGTTAATTGTATTCTGTTGTCGGTAATCACTAGTTTCATTAATTTGTATACCACTACTACAATATATTTACATACAGCCGGCGTTTAAATTGTTTTTAATACTACATTGTGAAATGTTAGGTGATATCAAAATTATACTGCTATAATCTAAATCTAAGTGGTTGGGCAGGTGAATCCATACTTGTTCACGCCTGAGCGGGGAATCGAACTCCGGTCGCCTTAGTGAAAGGCGAGTGCGTTATCCACGTGCACTGCGCCACCCGATAACCCATGATTTTACTGATAAAATTGATGTTTTATATATAGTAAAAGTAATTCCGTTTTATCTCATTTTCGTTCACAAACACATTTTCAGGTAGGAAATAGGAATGGTGTGTTCATGTAGTGGACGGCCCAGTGATGGCACTAAATATAGTTAATTTGAAATGGACCAGAAATATATATTTTCTGGTTGATAAATCACAGTACTCGAAAGCATGTGACACAAATCCATCTAATACAAAATTAGATATTCTCTTTTTTCACTTCCCATTCTTATAAAAGATTAATAGGATGCAAGCGCGTGAGAATACACAGCTACTATGATGCGGCAAAACCAAAATTTTCTGCAGGTATCCAGTTACATTCAGTAAATTTCACGTTTTGTCAAATCAAGACATTGGTTATAATCATTGGTTATATATTACCTGGCGATATAGTATTATAATTTATATCCAGATCTGTTACCTGGAGATAGCGTGTTATAATTTATATCCAGATCTGTTACCTGGCGATAGAGTGTTATAATGTATATCCAGATCTGTTACCTGGCGATACAGTATTATAATTTATATCCAGACTTGTCACATGACATATGTTAACGTCAGTCAGTGACTGTTAGAACCTACTCGTGATTAAGTTAGACCAGTGATCACTGTCCATACCATCCTACCTGTGACCACTGTCTATACCATCCTACCAGTGACCACTGTCCATACCATCCTACCAGTGATCACTGTCCATAACATCAGACACGTCGAGTGTTGCTGACAATTAATGTCTTGGCTCATCAAACGACAAAGACGTACACCCCTATTCTGGGAACGACATTCATTAACACCAGGTGTATCACATACCAAGCTCGGACATTGTATAGCAAGCAGTACAGGGCACGCGTTACCGCAGAGATATAGTCAACTGGGTTGGGTGTCAATCATATATTGTTGTACATTTTAGACCATGCTTGTATGTATGTATTCTAAGCAAAATTGACATGTGACACTTTAATAAAATAATTTGTATTGTATTGTGTATTGTACTATCCACTCTTAATCATATAACAGGGAGAGGTGTCCAAAACATTTGATGACCTGCAGGTAAATCAGTTGTCTGGAGTGTTTGAAGGTTCCGGTTCAAGTCCCAGTCTGATTGTAACTGGCGTTATATGGTAGAAAAACCGAATAAGTCGTGGCAGAATGGTTAAACAACAGTAATATTGTTAGCAGAATATTGGGAGGTAAATACTGGAGACAAGGGACCAGTCTATGTCAGTGTATATCAGGCTTGACTTGATTTCATCAAACATGATGTAAAGCGTTTTCTTGTTGGGAGGAAAAATAGGTATGTCAGTTTTCTCTTAACTGATTCTCTTAACCTCTCGGACTAGTGTGCAACTATGTCGGTACTATTTGCTCCGTTCCTATAGGGTAACTATGTCGGTACGATTTGCTCCGTTCCAATAGGGTAACGATGTCGGTACTATTTGCTCCGTTCCTATAGGGTAACGGTATCCGGGTGCTTCAATTCCTTGTAGGGTGTTTGGAAGTCCAACACAGACGATGTGTATATACAATTATTTATCTTATAAGGAAAGGGCGTTAATAATGTTCATGTAACTTGTGCCCAATCCTCTTGCATTTTTGTGGCAATAAAATATGTTTAAACAAACAAACGAT